ATAAATGAAAACATTCTCTACAGAGAACAAACTTGCATACAGCAGAGTTTAACATACTGGAAGTAAAATAAAAGATGAAATATTAAATGTATTTTATGTTTTTTTCCAACATGTTAAATTCAGCAAATAAACAGTAATCACCCAAACTTTTGCATTCGGCTGTACTTGCAGGGCATGGTACAGCTAAATAATACCCAAAGAAGACACGTGCAGGTTCACTAGTTATTTTCGATAGTGAACAGAACGATGCTGTAGACATCGAGATCCCAGGTTGATATCAGCGCCGGTGTAAAGAAACCCGGGTCAGTGAGTTTCTCTACAATGCACCATTTCAAATGAAACCACTCTGAATGGTTCTGCTTACATCTCAAAGCTATAAAGCAACTTACAGTCAATGTACATTATCTAAGCATCCATCACGTCTGAAAGCAGCACTGAACTCTGAACCAAATGATCTAATAAGGCAGTCATGTACATCTCACTATGTTCCCCTGCCTGTGCAGTTCATAGGCTCCCAGTTTCCCAAACACATCCAGGAGGCCCTTGGAGAATAAGCAGGAGTGGAGGGACTTCCTCTTCCAGAGATTCCGGTTTCTCCACGGCCATTAACCCAACATGACTCAGATGGAGCCTCCCCCGTAAAGCGCAGCTGAATGGGAAAGCCTGGAGTCAAAAGCCAGCTGGGTGGCTTTCTCTCTGGCAGAGACTTCTAGAAACACTGGAACAGGATGAAGGCTCTTTCCATGGACTCACAGGTTGTTCAGAGGCTACTCTCGTTTTCACACGTGCCCTGATCCGCCAGCGTGGTTCCACAAAACACAGCCCACAAACGGATTTCTTTTTCCCTCTGCTTGAGGTGTTTCGCGGCATAATGCGTTCCTGTAGTTCATCCCTGCAGTGGTAAATGTAATTTGTTCCTGTACTTAGTTTTTTCCTCTATCTGTACTTTACTGAAGTTTTTCCATTTTGGGCGACTTTTTCCTTTCACTCCACTACATTTCAAAGTCAGATATCTGACTTTTTACTCCACTACATTATGAGAAATCTGTCGTTCCTTTTGGTTTATGTGTGTATAAAAACGTAACATGTCAAAACAAAAGAAACACAAAGCAAGACCACCAATCAGGGCACAGCGCACTTAGTTTTGAGCTTGTTTTGGACATACCGACCCAGTGCAGCACACGGTTCAACATCAGTGCAGCAGCGTAAAATTTTGGGAGAGTCTATTCAACATAAATGATGAACTAACCTAACTTTGTGTAAACAGACCACAATATAGAAATATGTACTCATATGCAGTTGTGACTGACGTGTCTTTTTCTGAATTTATACAAACACATTTCATTTTATAGTAAATTAGTTTTGTCTAGTTTATGTTTATGAACAGAGACCTACAGACGCAGTTTAGTAAAGGAAACTCATTTGTGAATCTGAGTTTAAAGTTTTTATTCAACTTAAACTTGCAAATAAATCTTAAACTGAAACTTTGCTTGTTTGTAAAAAGTGATTTCAGAGCCACTCAGTTCTACCTGATGGAAACTGTTTGCCTTCAGTGTTTCGTGCTTATGATAATTATAATAGACATCAGCGTCACTAATTAATGACATTCTATTAAAAGACTGGTTTACCAAGAGAGACACTGGAGTATTTTCACCTAAAATGAGTTAATGAAGCGAGTCTTGTTATAAAAATGATAATAGGACATCAGTCATAATTAATCTTTTAGTACTTTTACTTTTGATACTTAAGTACATTTGAAGGCAAATACTTTAGTACTTTTACTCAAGTGGAGGTCTAAAGGAAGGAACTTCTACTTTTACTGGAGTAATATTGTACCTTGGGTGTCTCTACTTTGACTCCAGTACCTGGTCTGTGTGCTTCGTCCACCACCGATCTCCAGTAACCGATTACAGTGCCAGCAAATGTCATTTTTAAGCTCATTTTTATTTTTTTCTGCAGCCGTAGTTATGTACTGACAAAGGACATGCAGGGTTGAGGAGATGAAAACAGAATGAAGGCAATGCGGCAGTGTCGAAAAATATGACTTTAACAACTCGAAACCGTTCAGCAGTTCACAGATTATGGCTCAGTCATAATTTGCGTCTGGTTAAAGAGCTCAGGCTATCATTTCAGCAAATTAGGAAAACATGAATCTGCACAGCTGCACAGCCGTGATATACTTGGGCCAAGCAAAAGTTAGATTTTTGTTTAGAATATCAGAGCTTAGCATTTGATCGTCTCTCTTAATCCACATTTAGACATAAAATCGAACGAGCGTAAATGATTATCTACTTACACACGATCACCTCGGAACCTGTACCCTGCTTGGTCATCTCTATGCCATGTATTTAATTAGCTCTCTCAAAATCCTCCAACTACAGCGAGTCGTAGCTCCTCAAAGAGCCCCAGCTCGTTCTCATCAGACAACGAGGCTAGTAGAACCTCGAGGTTCAGCTTTAAAAAGTACAGGCACAGTTTAGGTCAGACAGCAGCTCCCATTAAAGGGGAATTCCACCAATGTCAAGAAAATTCTGCAAAATTACATGGTTAAGACGTAAATAAAGCCACTCAGAGTGGTTTGGTGTGAAACGCTCCGTTCCAGAGAAATCTAATGAGTCAGAACTGTTCACAGCGGTAACTACAGGAACCAGACTTTGGAAGAGTTCAATGCCTCTAAAAGCTGCCTCACAGTAAGATACTGCGTGAATGTGGTTATTTATGAATATGGGTCATTTTTCAGAAACGTCCATTTTTGTGTCCCTAGAGTTTACAGATATATTACACTTAAAAAACATGTTAGGGTTACAATTTATTTATATTTTAAGATAAAACAATAAGTTATTTTAATAATTACACCTTCTTGAGCCTCAATTTAGCAATATTGGTTTTTAAATCAATCATATAGAATTCCAAGCACCACAGAAGAGCTCATCCCCCAGTGATGTGTGAAGGCTGAGGCCATATTTTGAAGAAAAAAACATGTTTTTTTTGCAATTTTAACTACAATAATCTATACATGACTATGGAATATATGATTTAAATGACATAAAGAAAACAAATGACAAATAAATATTATAAAATATATAATGAAGTTGTGGTCCCCAGGAGTTGTGTCACTGGTGTTACCGCGTAACAAAAAATCTATTTTGAAATAAAAGTCACACCGATGACATCACTCGACTTCCTTTTACCTGTTTTCTGAGGATCTATGAAGAAAAGCACATGGTGAGTCCACTGTGTCTTTCAGTTATCAGAGATTTTCTCATTCAGCTCATGATTTCATATGAAGCTTTTAGCTGAAGTCACTGGTGTGACTTTATTCTGAGGTAATTGTGAAAAAATAGAATACAAATGGATTAAGTTCCATATTTTAGTGGATATTCCATGATTGACAACATGTGGTTTGATGCTCTGTAGCAGTTATTTTGTAAAATGCATTTTTATTCAAATGTCTCTGGTGTTCCTTTATTATGTGTAACACCAATGAGGATCGGTGACACCAGTGACTCCTATGGAGTCCTATGGAAAGTGGACGTTTCTGTAGAATGGCCCAAATGCTGCCTAAAGCCCAAGGTGATTTTACAATAGTTCTGAGACAGCAATATGACTCAGAACACATATTTTGATGTCCTGGGACGCACAAGCAAGATATAAAGGCAAATTATTTACCAAAGAAAACTTTTTTTCACAGATTTAACACTGATTTTTCATTATTAACACTGCATACAAAGTGTTTAACCCCTATTCTATCATGACTAAGATTAATACGAAAACTCAGAAGACACGTACATTCACTGTGGACATCACAAGCCCTGGTTCTCCACCACTGTAAAGAAATCAAGAGATGGTAAGTCTGTCTTCAGTGGTTTCAAATCAAACCACTCTGAATGGTTTCACTTACATCCCAACCACTGAATAACCTAGAAACTGGGTGAGAAATCATAATTCCCGTTTAACCTTGATGTCAGATATTTCAGAGGCTAAAATCCGGCCTAAGGACCAAATGGGTCCCATTTGGCTGCGACCACTCCAAAAACACGTTTATTCTTCCTAACACAATTTCATAGAACTACACACTAAAAACTGAACGTGTAAAGGTTGCATTCAGCCTGGCTGTGACGAAGGACGCCCCATATTATCCGCTTTAACGGTCTGTCAGCTTTTTGTGCAACCGGATTTTCTCACGTGAGCTTTTCCCGTTTCTCAGCAGCCGTTTGTTTCACTGTAAGTCGTAACAGTGTAAGAAGCCGCGTTTCACGCTGGAGCAGCTGAAACTGACTGCAGACCGTCCATATCTCGTGTGGAACTGACCCGCGGACACAGGGCGAACTGGTGATCCGCGTCGCCTGAGTGAAGTTTACAGTGGTGATGAGTCGCCTCGGGCTAAAAACATAAGGAGAGACACGAGATTCTCGGAATGCTCTTTTTGTGGTCCTGAGATCAGCTGTTAAAAACACAGACTGACCACAGAGGGAGGCACTGCTGCAACTTCTGCGAGCTACATTTTGAACACTCCGCTTTGCTCTGCTTCATTTTTGCTAGATGTTTCGTTGTGGCTGTCTACAACCTCAACAGTGTGTGTGTGTGTGTGTGTGTACGACTGTCGTAGCTGGGTCTTGTGTGATTCTTGAGCCACAGACCATCACAAACCATTAGGTAACCGAGAAGCCTAATTTCTGAAACTCAGCCCGGCGGTGGTCGCCACTTTCCGAGCTGCCCACCCCAGACAGGCAACTCTGAGCTCCCCAGTTCACATTCACAGCTATGAAGTTCGCCCCACTTCAAACTTACGATGAACGGCTCTCGGGTTTGTGGGGAGGCAGAAACAACGTTACACTGACGGCAGGCCTCGGCCGAATTCCCGAACCCCCCTCCCTTTCTTTTTTAAGCTCGTGGGGTCCCCCATTTCTCCCCTTCACCTCCAGCTCCAGCTCCTGCCCCTACCACCCGCATTCCCTCACACCGCCGCCGGAGAGAACGACGCCTGACCGTCCGCTTACCTGAATGAACTGGATCGTCAGCGCCGACTTGCCGACGCCGCCGCCTCCGACCACCACCAGGCGATACTTCTCCTGCACGGAGCCGTCCTTCCAGCCAGCCATGGGGGGAGAAAAACACACTCACACACACACGCACGCCGCCGTGTGAACCGCCAGTGAGCGCACACCCGCTCCTCCGCGCGTGACAGGCCTTCGGACGAAGAGAGCGCGGCGCGGAAGGAGAAACGGAGGACGGAGTCGACGAATAATCCGCGGAGGGAGAGTGGCGACGATCACACGGAGTGCGTTCAGCGCTGGTGCCGCCTCGGTCCGTCCGCCCTCCTCTGCTCTTACGCTGCCAGCCACTGTGAGCTCTGAGTGCTGCAAGATGGGGAAAAGATAGGAGAGAGAGGTCCGGCCGATACAGATGGCCGACGCTAGAGGCCGCCCTCGGGCACTCAGCCACAAAACGGCGTTTTGGGGTAAAACCCGTACAGAGAGAGCGACCCTCTCTCATCTCTCACTGAGCCCGCTGTCGCATCAGCCTGGCAGCAACAGCTCAGACCCTAACAGTGGAAAATACACAGCACAGGGTCAGTGAACAGGGTCAGTGAACAGAGTCCGTTTAGGCCTCGAATGTCTTTAAAAAAGTCCTTCTTTTCTTTTTGTTTTTGGATAAAGTAAATAAAGTGATGAACCTTCAAAAGATGTTATTTTCCAATCCCAGGCTGTCAAATCAGATACTATAAAATCTGCCCTGTTACCAATTTTTAGGGAGACATAAAAGGTTTATATATTTATGAACTTTTTAAATAAATATTACAAATCTCTCTCTCTCTATATATATATATAGACTTATACTTATATATGACTTATACTTATATATGACTTATACTTATATATGACTATTTTCACTAAAAAATAACTAAATAACAAGGATAAAGTGATAGCAGGGTTGAACACATATTCACAGAGATTATATTCCAGATTAAGCTGACATTAGTACAGTAAAATATATATGTGTGTGTGTGTCTGATCCACTCAGACCAGCACAACACACACTAACACACCACCACCATGTCAGTGTCACTGCAGTGCTGAGAATGATCCACCACCCAAATAGTACCTGCTCTGTGAGGGTCCATGGGGGTCCTGACCACTGAAGAACAGGGTAAAAGGGGGCTAACAAAGTATCAGAGAAACAGATGGACTACAGTCTGTAACTGTAGAACTACAAAGTGCACCTATATAGTAAGTGGAGCTGATAAAATGGACAATGAGTGTAGAAACAAGGAGGTGGTCAGAATGTTATGACTGATTGGTGTATATATATATATATATACAAAATAGAGGAGAAGTGAAGCTAATTTAAATTTGTTTTAATCAAAATATTTTCATTAAAATCTTTAAAGCATTTTCATTTCATTTTCGTTTAAAGTAAATTGGGTAACAAGGTTGTGATTTTAGGCAGAAGTGGTTAGTTTGACAGCTACTAATAACCATGTAGTATACATAAATAAAAAAATATAAATATATAATCTTTTTTCTAACAACAATTTTGGTCACAGGGTTGAACGGTCAGGCTTTACACATGCAGCCAAATCAATGTTTTGTGAGTAAATCGAGGAAGTAGAATGAGAATAAGTATTTGTTTCATGGTCTTTCTGCAGAAAACAATAAGATGATGAAAATTCCTGTAATTATCATAATAAATGGAATGTTCCGTTTTCACGAGGGGGAACAGGATGTGCATAAAAAGTGGGACCCAAGTACTTTTGCTATGTAATTAAGTAAATGAATAAAGAAAACATTTTTAAAATTGTATTGGAAATTAATAAAATAGCGTTGTAATCATGGTGGCATTGGAAGATTTTTATAAATGTATTTCATAGGGAAGTTCAATGTCAGTGAGGTGGACCAGCTCAAAATCACCATATTAAAGGTGAATATAGACATTGTATTTTCATGATCATTTAAATGCTAATTTTAATCATTTTATTTTAAGTTATAATACAGATCCCTTCAATTTTCACAGAAAGAAAAAAACAAAAACAGTCACTTTATAAATATGCCTTTAAAAAAGTAATGGGACAGAAATATTTATAAACATAACAACAACAATCACTTCATTTCTTTTAAAAAAGGCAATGGGACAGATATTGAACTCATGGAAACTCCTAGAGGCTGGTAGCAGCAGTTACATTTGCCCGTTTACATTTACTTGTACTTAAAAAGACATTCCATAAATTTTTCAAATATCCTGCATAATTAAAACATTAAGATGTAAACAAAGTAATTTAAAGTGGTTTGGTGTGAAATACAGAAACTTACTGCCTCAGAATAGTTCACAGTGGTGGTGATAGGAACCAGACGTCTGAAGACTTTGACATGAAATAGATACAAATATGCTGCCTGATGTCTGAAATTGTTTCACTGTTTTTGTTTGTTTTATTGTTTTGTTTGGCCTAAAATGTGATTAATTGCATCATATTACTCCGCAGTATGCTGAGTATATTGTACATATGATCAGTAGTGCATGTATCATTGTAAAGAAAGCACAATTACGCAAATGTGAAACGTTAAATCATTAAAATTCATTATATTCAAAACTTTTTTTGACAGTAGTTTTTAAATGTTGCACTGTTTTCTGTTCCAACTTATCAAACCTCAGAAAAACAGATTATATCCTGAAACATGTCGTGTGTTGTGAGCGTGTTTGATGACCACAATGTCGTCCACTCCTAGATTTGTACCTTTCTGACTGTTTTCAAAGGCTACCTTCACTTATACTCCAGTATGTGAGGGAAGGACTTTTTGTGAGTTCCATTTTAGATCTTCACGTTTAGTTCCCAATTTCTTTTTTGGGTTTATTTTCACTCTGTTCTCATGGTTCAGCACCTGGGCTGCTTTCCTGCTGCTCACACCTCTCAGTTTCGAGCCTGAGCTTTTTATTTTAGACCAGAAGGAGCCCAAAAAGAGAAGAAAAGTGCCAAACAAACTACATTCCCATGCTGATAGATGCAGGATTTATAAAGAAAATCCACTGCACTTCTGCAGGTTTCTCAGTATTTGATGGTAATTTTTTAATATGATTTTTTTTTTCTATTAAAAGTTTTAATAGCTACTTTTACTTGTACTGAAGTCATTATTTCATTGAAATAAATTTATTTGACTTTTGACCCATCTCTGTAAATACAGTACAATGAAGCTGATATGAACTGTATTCATGATTTCAGGCTCATTTAGAAATAAAAGAATAGGATGCGTTTTGATGTTGTGCTGCACTCTTTATTTGTCACTCAGCTATTAAAGGGGCACTCCAACCAAAATAAAAGAATGTAACCATTGCCGCATCTGTGGTAAGCATGCGTACTCACCTCTTACAGCAGTGCAGCAGGAGTCTCTGAAGTGAGATTTCCTGGTTTAAAGAATAGGAAACCCCCTTCTGCAGATGTTGAAGGTGGAAGTAAATTTTGAAAGGCTACAGGTGCTTTGGGGGAGTTTTGGTTTGATTTTATTTTCGCTGCCTAGCAGAAAAACATAATGACCAATTGTGGTTAGTGCTACATCACTAGTGCTAGCTAGCACCACAAGTATTTATTAGGCTCTAGATCAGTTAATAGCGGTCAGGATTTGTTAGGGATTCTTAATGATTATGTGATGTGATGATCTTCACCACTGGCCAGTTTCCTGGCTGTATGTTTTTGGGGGGTAGGCCACTCTCAACCTAGCAGTGATGGCGATGTATGTACAAAACCTCTTTTGTGGCCTGATACACTAATACCAGCATCCCACGCACTTCTCTGCAGCTACCATGTCAGCGTCACTGCTGGGCTGAAAATGGTCAACCACCTAAATAATATCTTGTTAGCAGTGGTGCTGTGGTCAGAAACTGCTCACTGATGAATGAGGTATGAACCACAGTGTTCCTTCCACCAATGCTAAGCAACATCCTAGCCAGTCAGGCACCTGAATGTTTGCAAGGCAAAGTAGATCCCCTCAGTGTTCTTCTAACACTCATGGTGAGCCACTCTGTAATGCTGCATGGATAATTATGGTGCTAGGGTTCATGCAAAATGTATTCATAGACACGTCTTCAGCAAGTTAGTCAGTTTGTTCATGTGTTTGCAGATCTGTGATGGTTACTATGGTGTAACAACATACATATCTTTTAGGCTCTATATGATTCAACCCAATTTTAGATAAAAAATAAGACAAAATAAGCCCCAAAAATCTCAACTCCTAAATTTTAGTAATGCACAATTTTTAAAATCAAATTCAGTTTTTTGAACACCGTTTACAGAGTTCAACAAATGAAAAATAACACAATTTCCACTGCACAGCAATGCACACAACCTGAAATATAAATAAAATAAATAAAAATAAAACCTCTATTAATATTGTCTTGAATAGTTTAATTCATGGAGATACACTTCTAGATTGCACAATCTTTCCACCATCCATCATTTTTTAGTCCTTTATCAGTGGTCAGTTTCTCACCACAGCTTTATGAGTCTGGTGGGCCACCTTTTCAGAATTAGTTAAAAAAGTAAAAATAAGACATTTTCAGACATTTTATCACCACAATGCACCTGTGTTTCAGTAGGGAAAGCACTACAGGTACTTGTGGATCTGCCATCGGAACAACATGATGACCTAGTGTTGTTGACCACAGTCATCCAGTGACGTTTCGGGTAAGTGCCAGTGGCACTGTCGGTCAGGCGACTGCTCCCAGAGAGGCAGAGGCTAAAGGGAGAGCGGTTAAGCATGCTGGTGACGGAGCTGAGCACGATGGTTCGACAGGCATACCTGGTGTTCAAGGGGCTGCACAGGAAGATTAGCACTGGAACACTTCCTGAATATGCTGCTGCCGGAAGGGCTGAGATGGCACATGCAGCTTGCCACACCGGCCAGCCTTCAAGCAGCTGCTGCCTAGGCAGAGAGGGTGGAACTCATCCTCGGTGTAAAGACGCCATGGCGAGCAACACAGTGCTACATAGCAGAGGAGCACAAGTAGATCACATGCCATATAGCCCCTGAGTAAGTGGTGGGGCGACTGATGTGCTGGCAGTGCAGGAAAAGGGGATCAGTCAGTGCTACTCTCTGAAGGTCATGGGCAGCACACATAAGCAGCACCCTCCTCAGCACTGACAGCACAGTAAACTACGGAGAACGCAGAAGGCACGTATGGCAGCAGCGGCAAGTAAGGTCGAGGTTTGCACGACACTGGAAATGGTGCGTGAGTTGTGGCAGTGGAGTGGGGTGAGCTTAACAGAAGAGCAGAAACAGTGGCTGTGGGGTCCCTTGCGCTGTTCCAATGACATCTTTGCAGCCCCGGCCCCACTGGCTTCTGTTGGCTAACGAAGATGCTGTGGAGCAGAAAGT